GGGAAACTCTTACAAAGGTAAGTGTAAGCACAATCCATTTACTGATACACAGGGCAGAAGGAACTAATTGGTGAATTGAATTTAATGCAGAGACAAAGAGATATCAGCCTTTTCATAAATCAATCAAACTTTGTCCAAAAGTTGTTGAGATGTTCTTTTCCTTCTCCCACAGAAAGACTATTCCACTATTGTTCTGATACCTAAAAACTACTTTAAGGTGTCCATTTTGTAAATACTGAGGTCCAGTTTATAAATCTCTCAACCTTATGCCTTTATTGTGCCCTTCTTCTCCTTCCTTGATTTCTAGCCACATGGCCTATTTGTAGGCCATTCTCCACCTTGTTTGGCTAAACACAAATATATGAAACTTTGCAACCTGACCCTCACATCTCCTCATCTTCTTACCATACCTTCTTTACACCTCTTTCGAGTTTATACTTCTGAGTGCCCAGTGTCTCACCAGTACCTGGTTCAAAGTCATTACTATCAACACTTTCTCTCCACCAGAAGATTTCTGCACAACACACTTCAAAGAAAACATCTGGCTTTTTCATAATCAATCCACGTAGGCAGCTTAATCTTAAAGTTTACAAGCAAAATCTTCTCTTGCTTGCTCATTTCCAATACATGAAACACTAACTAGAAAGAATTCCTGCAAAACATGCAATACTGCATCTCGTGCTATTGAATTTCATCCTGTTTTCACTACTCCAAACCTTATCTGGTTCTTCATTTATTACTCCAGCTGATTAAATGCTGACACATACTGCATGAAACAGCTGCTTCCCTTAGGACTGTGCAGTTGAATGCCTTGGTCAGTCCTACAATTGGAGTTGCTCCTCTTGCTAAGACCCATAGTGGCCCCTACATACAAAACAAATCCCAGGGGAGATGCCCAAAGACTGTGCAGCAAACTGATTTAGAAGGAACAGGGAAAAGGGCAAAGGTTGACACACTAAGTATGTGCACAGTGAGATGACTCAGGGCCACAGAAGTGTTACTTCATAACAGAAAAAGAAGAGGATCAGTTGTCTCTTCTGGACATTTGTCCCAAGAACACATTCACATGCATTTATTTCCTCTACTTCTATCCTGCAAACTGATCTGGATTGTATGAGCAAACATTTAGGGACCTATCCTACATGCAAATCTGATATGCATAACTGTATTTCTAGATGTTACTTCCACAGTCTTCCTTTTACATCTTAAATGGTGTAACACTGATAGGAGCACATCCTTGGATTCATCACTTTACACTGTTCAGATTCTTCCAACACAGAGAAAATAATTGAATACACAACAGCTTAGCCCCAAACACTGTCAGACAATCTCAAGGAAAGCACAATGCCTGGAAACAGCACGTCAATATCAGGAACAGGCAACACTTCAGATTGCTGGTGTGTTTCAAATACATCCCACTTTTTGATTACATGTCCTCATAGTGTTCTGTAAACATCAATCAGCTACAAATCCCTGTAAAATTCAGCCTTATCCACAATTTGTCAACTAAGGGAAAAAAGGGAGCAGAGAAATAATTTGCTTCATCCAAAATAATTTAACCAAATGGGTGACAAAGAAGGTCAAAGGGTCAAAAGCCTTTTCTAAAATATCACCTTCACTGAAAATATCTTCCTGTTTTCTCTTTCAATTAACTAAAATCAGACAGTTTTAGCCAGTCTTTCAGGCAGCTCTTTCAAGTCTTGTGTAACACATTGTGCACAGGAAGACCAAGGCCCTAGAAAAGACTGCAATGCAGTATTTTAGCCTACATTCCTTTGTCAACAGGGGCCTGCTCCTTTTGCAGAAATGTGGTATATAATAGTAATAAGATCAAATATTGAGCAAGGGAAAATTCTGTGAGAAAGGCTGTGCAAACTGGTTGTACTCCCATAGGAGCTGCGAAAGACTGACAAGAAATAAACATCAATTCAACCTTCTCACAGATAGCTAATTAATATACAGACAGAAAAATGTGGTAGCAGAGCCTGTTGCAGTTCAATCCTACCTGATGCTCATTCACAGTGCAAAGGAAGCCCATTCCTGACTTCCCAGATTAGATTTCTATAGCATACTGGTGACACCAGACCATTCAGCGCAAGGTCACACCATAAACTGACAGCACTTTTACAACAGAAGACCAACTCATCTCCTGTTTATCCTTCAAAACTGAAATACTGTATCTGAGAGTAAGAAAGCTTCATGATCCAAGTCATTAAGATAATGCATATACTTATTTTGATCTAGCAAAATAAACAACCTTTAATACCTGTCATAAACCATTCCTAGCACACATTTGTGGATGGAAAATCACTTGCTATTATTGTAAGTTATTGCTATATTCAAAAGAAAAATTATTCCTATCTGCATAAACAGATAAACAGATCATTCCATGATTCGATTAACTTTACTAATGAGTGTCTCTCTTTATTCACAGATGGTATCTTTAGCTATTGCACTCTAAAATACCTGCTCAAAACCTATCACTGATTACCTGAACTTCTTGCCAATGCTTCTTCTGCTTCAATTAAAGTCTCTAACATGCCTTCTGTTAAGTTGGGACATTTTCCAATTACAGCATAGCCATTCCAGATATACATCATTTCCTAGGGTCAGGGAGAAATGACAGCATCATTAATTCCAGCACTGGATAAATGTAGTTGTCAAACACTTTAGTTTATCTCAGCATGACGAAAAAGTTACAGATTCCTTGAATAAAGTCAGTTTGTCAAAACATATTTTCATTGCAACTGAAAACCTGTTACATTGGTCTTCAGAACAAATTAGCCCTGGAAAACAACTAAGGAGCAATTTACTACACACAGTGCAAGGGGGATTACTTGAACAGAATGTAAACACAATCTCTCTTACAGTTGAGGCAAGTACCAACAAAACAGACTTAAACCATTCATGGCACATGGCTAACTGTCCCTTCACTAAGGTCTCCTCCTTTTCTTCAGTGTAATTTTAGCCAAAGCAGTAACAACCATAAATAACTGTAGTGCATTGCTTCCAAAGAAAAAATATGAAATGGCAGCACAACAAAACAAAACAGAAAAAAAACAAAACCCCTAACCTTTAAGCCAAGCTTCAAATAAACCAACAGAATTTTAGAGTTGAACTGTAAACCTCTTACACTCCTCAGGTTTATTTGATGCTCCCACAGAAAGTAACTTCTTTCTCATTCAGCTTTCTTAGAGTAAATTCTACTATTGGCTGAATTCCTATTTGTTATTGAATTCTCTCAGAGTGTATCACCAGATCAAGAGTGCTCATTGCTATCAGCAACCACAAAGTTAAAGATGGAAATATTATATGGACTTAAGATTGGTCTTTGTGACAAGTTATTTAATTACAGAATATCCTGAGTTGGAAAGGACCCACACGCATCATCAAGTCCAGCTCCTGGCCCTGCACAGGACCACCCCAAGAATTCCACCAGATGCCTGAGAGCATTGTCCAAATGCTTCTTGGAACTGTCAGGCTTGGTGCTGTGACCACTGCCCTGGGGAGCTGTTCTTGTGCCCAAGCACCGGCTGGGGGAAGAACCATTTCCTAATATCCAACCTAAACCTCCCCTGACACAGTTTCATGCCATTTCCCCAGGTCCTGTCACCAGAGAGATCAGTGTCTGATCTATTTTTTCTATTTATTTATACAGCCTAGTCTGTGTTTGATAATTCAAAGCTTTTCAATAATATTTTGGTACAGAATAACTGAGTTCTGGAAGTACAGCACAGAAAGCTGTCAGGCTAGAATAGATGAAACAGCATGTTAACCCCAGCCACTGTTGCTTTCACCATCGGGTCTCTATGGATTGGAAAACTTGTGCTGAGCTTACTGTACCTAGTGCAGATTCATTAACTTGGTTTTGAGACAGAAGTATTCAAACCACATTCACTCTAGGCTAAATCCCCGAGCTAAGACTTACTTGAGGACTCAACGCTTCTCAGCAAGTCCCTTGTTAATGAAAAGAAAAATCCTGGAGATGAGATTCTGCCCCCAATTCCACATCCATAAAATGCTTTTATCTGTTCAGCTGCGGCATCTGCTGCCTCGGAAATGCAACTGCATAGCAGCCAAGGACACAGTGCCTGGCTGCTCCAAGGAGAGCTCCTGGTACAGAAACCTGCTCTGCCAAAATCCCACTAGGACAGCCCAGCCAAACCCCAGGTGTGTACACTTCTTCCTCTCTGAAACCTGAAAGGCACATCAAAGTAACCTAATTATTTCTCTCACTTCAGTCTTATTAGTGGGACGTGGCCCCTGAGGAATACCCACACTCTGCTGTAACAACTCTCTTTCTTCAGGAAGCACAGTGTCATACCCACTGGTGGCCTGGGAAGTGGCTACTCACTGGGGTCTCCAAAGAGGCTCTCCTTGTTCCAGCATTTTTTTATTTACTAATTTTTCATCTCTTTCTTAAACACAACAGCTCAAAGCTGCAAATGTTAACACCACTGCATTGGGCAAACCTGTGGACTCAAAATCCTTTAATGTTCTTTGTAGACAGATTTCTGTAAGTGCACCATGAACAAGGTGCCTCCTGCAGCTGTTCTAGTCTGGCCACAGGGAACTGGCCAGCATTACAGGGCAAAAAAACCCAACTTGAAACAAACCAATCATCAGTTGCAATGGTTTTCTGGAGTGGCCAAAGGATTCGGTTGTTTCATCCCAGCACCCATGAACTGCTCTGGAGAGCACCAAATTGCAAACATTCAGGGGCACATTAAATAGCTGCTTACATGCACTCCCCAATTCTTACATTGTTTTCTTGACACCCCCTTACTTGTACCTTAAAGTCTTCTGTTAGCAAATGACACATGACAGAAGAGACCTAGGGCAAAGTTCCTCAAAAGGGAACCCAAAGAAAGCTGTTGGCAGCACGCTAGTCTATAGCTGGAATAATGAGTTACACATGCAACACATTTACGTGTCACAAACAGCTGGCTGAGTTCCCTGTGGCTGGTGCATGCCCCAGTTTTACAGCATTCCTCACATTCATTTGGCTTTGCTTTGGGAACATTCCAGTCTCCTGCAGAGGTTTTACCTTAGAAACATGGAAAGATACTATACTAATTATCCTGGGTTTATTGCTATAAATTCAAAAGATGTTGAAAAGGGTAAAGTGTGTGTGTCTGTGGATACTTCTGACTTACCAAAGGCGGAACAGGCAAAGGAATGGGGTTTGAGGAAAGATACCGTCGTGCTTTCCGAATTGCAAACTTTTCTGTAGGCAGAGATTTCCCTGCAATTTTCAGTTTCAGACTGGGAACAATCCTGAAAGTTTAAAGGAAAACATAAGGAATTCTTCCTCTGTGAACCTCTGAGAAAAAAACAAAACAACCAACCAACATTCAAACTTAAAAAAAGAAAATCAAACCAAGGAGAACTTAAAAAAGCTGTTACACACTGGGCTACTGCTACCTCTGGGGAAGCTGAGCAACACATACTCACAAAAGCTGTCTTTATGCAGGGCACGTTTATCTCTAGGCTTCCTCTTTAATCAAGCAGGAGGAGAGGGACTCTTCCCCACTGAAAGATTAAATTAGATGATGCACCTAACTTATAAAAGGGCTCATCTCTCTTCACAGACTAAGAAAGAGGCAGGCTACCTTTTGTCAGTCTTCCTCAATTCTCCCAAAGATCAAACCTATTCACTTCATAATGAATCCCACATTCAGTGAAAATTGCTTGCAATGATTATAAAAGATAGAGAGATCCTGAGCAGTATCATGCTGTAAGCACATTCAAAAATATGTAGGTTATTTTATATAAAAACTGTCAACCCTAAAGTAATCAAATTTTCTTTGCCCCAGAAAAGTTTAGGTATTTTTGAGCTTAAACATTCCAATCAGGTTATCTCATTGTGTTAATAACCCATGGATTCACTCGCACATTTAACTACTTCTTACTCCTCTTGGACTCAAAGCCAAAGAATCGAGTTGTGCTCACGCTCCCTCTAAGGAGGCACACACACATCTTGCAGCACAACCCATTGAAGGCTTTCACATCCTACATGCCATTTTGATTAAAGGAAACAACTGAAACAGAACGTGACTATTACATGGAACAGCAGCAGCCACTGTATGGCTGACAGACCTCTGTGCCTGTCCCAAAGTATTTCCAGGCCAGGAGAAATCTGCTCTCAACTCAGGGTCCACTTTAGTCTAAAGGACATTTAACTGCCATCTCTTATTTGCATGGATCTTCCAAACTGCATAATGAATAATTTTTGCCTCTCTTTCCCCAGTGCTGTGACATGAAAAGGTAGTGAAATATTTTAATGGTGAGTTTGTAAATTTTACCTAAACAATTCGACTTCGCTGTCTCCGAAAGGACTGCAGTCATCTGGTCCAAACATACTGAGATAAGCAGCTTTCATATATATATAAGTAGCCTGCAAATGCAATTAAGAATATCTATACAGAAAAATGAATTTACAGCATCACCTTTCTTAATATAAAGCACAAAACAGCAACAAAGAGGAAGTGGGCTTTTGCCCACAAACAAACAATCATACAAAAACTTAAGCAGGAGAGAAGAATTTTAGAAAGTGAGCATACAGTATTGTTTTTGAATCATGTATGCCTTTGTTTATTTTATTATCAGCTTACAGTTTATGTCAAATTCCCAGAAGAAACCTCATGCTTGTATAAAGCAAGTTTTCAATACTCTTAGGAATACATGCTATAAAACTTATGAAAAGGACATGCTCAGGGGAAAATACAACACTATCCAGTCTATGTGTCCAATCCCAACTTAGTAACATATCCCAAATGCTAGGTTCTAGAAGACTGTCACTCCCTGGACTTCAGGAGAGCAGACTTTGGACTCTTCAGGAATCTGCTTGGTAGAGTACCCTGGAGGGAAGAGGGGTCCAAGAAAGCTGGTTAATATTCAAGAATCATCTTCTCCAAGCTCAGGAGCAATATACCCCAACAAAAGGAGGCCAGGTAAAAATGCCAGGAGGCCTGCATAGATGCAGAAGGAGCTCCTGGACAAACTGAGACATGAGCCCACAGAGGTGGAAGCAAGGACAGGTAGGCTGAGAGGAATATAGAGAAATTGTCTGAGCAGCCAGGGATCAGGTTAGGAAAGTTAAAGCCCTGATGCCTGGCCAGGGATGTCAAGAGCAATAAGAAAATATGCTATAGGCAAGTTGGTGATAAAAGGAACAACAGAGAAAATGTGGGCCCTCTCTGGAAGAAAACAGGAGACTGGGTTACCCAAGGTTGAGGCACTCTGACTTTTTTGCCTCAGTCTTCACTATCAAGCACTCCAGCCTCACTGCCCAAGTCACAGAAGGCAAAGGCAGAGAATGGGAGAATGATGAACTGCCCAGTGTAGAAGATCAGGTTCAAGACCATCTAAGGAACTTGAAGGTGCACAAGTCCATGGGTCCTGAGAGTTGCTGAGCCACTGTCCATCATATTTGAGAGGTCGTGGCAGTCCAGGGAAATTCCCACTGACTGGAAAAGGGTAGACATAACCCTCATTTTTAAAAAAGCACAAAGGAAAGGAAGGAAAGGAAAGAATGTTAACATGGTTCTGGACAGAAGAGTGTCTCCCTTTCAGGTGCACAGGGCAAGGTGCCACTTCTAATTACAATTATTATCCTGGAGGCACCAGCATGGCTAGCCTCACTCATCACCAAAGGGGCTTATATCCATAATGGAATGAAAGAAATGGCGCCTTGCACCATTAATTGCAACGTGTTGCTGACACAACCAGTCAATACAAAGCAGGACATCTTTAACAACCTGTTCAGATTTGAATGTTGACAATTCACATGGGTCACTAAAATAGCCACAGCAGGTCAGGTTTTACTTTATAATCTTTACTTTCAAAGCTACGAGAAGACAGCTCAATTTGACTGAAAGTTAATAGACACTACAAGGGCCTTCCACCCTCCTGTTCTGCTGAACTTACCTTTGACCAAGTGTTTTCTTTGCTTAGCAGGTCTGCATAGAAGAAAGCCATCTTCCACTGGCGCTTGTAGGTGAAGCACCACATCAGCTCCCAGTAACACATGTGATGAAACTGCTTCCAGTACTGCTGAGCTTCACAACATTCTTCATATCTGTTGACTGCCTGCACACAGAGATTTCCAAACACTGCCTTAACCATGTGCAAATGCACAAACACCAGTGCTATAACAGACACTGGGGCTCCAGGACCTGCCCACATAGCTCCTGCAACTTCCAAATTATTAACAGCCCAGTATTTCCCAATGTCATGCCTGCTGTTTTTACCCAAGAGATTCTTAGCTACACAGTCATTCTTGTGTTACCAAGTTTACCCTGCCGCACAGAGATCCCCATTCCTGGAAGTTATATGAAGTTCTAAGCATAATCAAAATGAATGTTTGTGCCTAGGGAAATTGGGAAACTGAAGTCAGAGGACAGATGCTCAGCTGACATTTATTGCTGCAGATTTCAAGGGAGATATCACACAGCACACCAGCTGACAGTCTCGGAGTATTTTGGACATGCATTCTTCATCTCCCTAATTCTTTCAAGTCTTGCATGCCTCTCCTCTCAGACTGAAGGCAAAGGATTACCATTGGGTGTTACTAAAGGCACAGCTCGCTTTGGGATAAGAAAGACAATGAGAAAACCATGTCATTAATACTGATGGACTGTGTTATCACCAGGAATTGAGAAGGGTAGGAAAACAAGTTGGTCAAACAAGCTAGTTAAAATAGTTTTCAAAATTCCCATTTGTAATTCATAAACTAGAAATTACATGCAGCCACAGGAAGCATTAGCCAAAAAGGAAACATCAGTCTTGGAGGAATTTTTCTACAGCTTATGAAATTTACTTTCCCAAGAGCAAAATGATTACTTACCGCATCAATATTACCCTTTAGTGTTTCTATCCTGCCTGCAAAAAACAGGAATATGGCTCCCTGTAATAAATAATAATAAAAATACAAGTATTCTATAACAGTTTTCAAGCTGACCATACAGTCTAGATCTTTGTTATTGGGCAGGAAAACATTAAACAATCACACCAAATAAATTATGATTCATTTTACCTTTGGATAACGAGCCAAGTAAGGCTTAAGCAGTTTTTCTGCCTCCTCAACATTTCCTTTTCCTGTCCCTAGAATGCATAAAAGTGCAAGTGATAAAAACAGTTAGAAAACTAAAAATTCATGCAAGGTATTGATTATCCATCCTCAAGTGGACAACATGTAAGTTCCTCTCTCTGCTAAGTAAGGCATAAATGCAGGTTGGTGCAGCACTAAGGCAGCAAGCTGGAAGCCCTGACAACACTGTGCTTCCTGACTTGAAAACTCACCTATCTATAGACAAATACATATTGTAGGATGTTTCAGGAGGAGATAATAGAGAAGCATGTCTCAGCAGAAAGCTATCACCTCCCAGCAAAAGTCAGGGATGACATACAAGCATGAACAAAGTATCCAGGAAGTCATCACTTACAGCCATTGTTTTCACCTCCCAAATAAGGCACCTAACTACTGAAGACAGATCTAATTCTCACAACTTCCTTGGCTATCTCCATTATTTCCCTTCTGATGTGTTAAACAAACCTCTGTCTTGAAGACTACACTCTTCAGTTATGATCACTATTGTAAAATGACCCACAAATGAGCTACATTTAATCTGGTTACGAACAAAACAATTCACCCACAAACAGATGATGGAATTATCTTTTTCCCCCGTGTCCCACAAGAACTAATCAAATCCAAGAGTTATTATAAACAATCTTACCTAACACAAAGGTCATGAAAGTATGATAGCAAAGCAACAGCATGGTACACAGCACCGACCTAAAGCTGTATGATGATGCTCCTTCTTGAAGCTGCAGCAGACCATGTTCCTGTGCAAACAGAGGAGCAGGGGACAAGGGATTGGAAAAGAACCAGAGCTGTGTTTTGCTAGTTTAACTTCTGCAGCATCATCTACAGATTGCTCACTCACCAAATTCCCAAAAAGGCACTGACATACATTGCTTACACAGCAATCTAAGACAAAAACACACATATTAGGTTACCTAATAGTTTTTCATGGAGTTACTGGAAGACCATCTGATGACAGAGCAGCAATTTGGGATGTATTACATGGTTTACATAAGAAAATGAGAGACAATTTATCACCATCATCCAAGTGCTGCTGAACAGCATTCCAGAAAGAAAACTGAGTTTTGAAAAGCAAGGCAAAAAACACATATCATCATTGTGCAGCAAATCCATGTTTGCTGTAGTTCACTGAACAGGCAAGTAAAGGGTATCAAGGAAAGAAAATCTGCAACTAGCAGAGCAACAGGGTGAAAGGATGTTTTAAAGAATGCCAGGAACAAAAGGATCTTTGCAATGATGTTGGCTCACTACTAGCAGTGGAAAAATATGATGAAAAGAAGAGTATTTCTGTTCCTTTGAGGAAGAACTAAAGCAATCAAGTGTAACACTGTATTCCTACTCAGTGACAGCATGATGGATAATCAACTTTAAGGATTCAAGCTCCTGAGGCAAGAGCATTTAGCAGCCCATTCTAGGACTGGCTCCATGGTATCAACTGCAAGACTATAAATATGCAAATCCATCCAACATGAGATCTGTGTACTAGTAAATATGCACAGTAAGATGTTCACTGTGTGCTGGGGAAAACTGTTTAAAAGTTACCCTCTCACTGCAGTGGAAAGTTACTGGAACATGCTGTGACTATAAGGACATCCCTTCAAACCAGCAGCACTATAAATAGGAAGGCTGAGGGATGTCTGTCGGAGGCACCATGGAAGGTATCACAGAGTGCTCAGAGCATGATCTTAGCACAGATTCACATCTTTTTTGTGCCCTTCTGACTGAGAGGTGTTATCTTTATTGCTTACTGTGCAAACACTGAGGCCTTTAATCACATTCTCATTTTCATCATACACGTATTTTTTCACTTAATTAGTGCAGTTAAGTGTTTTCACATAAATACATATTTTTGTGGGTTTTTTTAAAGAAACCTTAAGTTGTTACATTAATTGCTGTTATAAGAAAAAAATACGACACATACTTGCAAGTCTATTAGTACAACACCTAGCCAGGAAAAAATAATGAAAATACTGACTTCCATGTCACTACAGAAGAAATTTAAAGACAGTAAAACCATTACTGAAAATCAGTGACTTAATGGAAATCAAGCACTTAGCAAAATAAAACCAACTTCATTTTCTGCTGAGAGCAAAAGTTTGATTGATACAAATAAATCACAAAATAGGATGTTTTCAGCTTCTTCAAACTGCCCAGATGAAAACCACAAATACTTGGACTTCTAAAAAAGCAGCACAGCAAGGCAGAAGTAAGACAAAACATTGTGTGGAATGAACTTTGGCAGAAAAAAAATTCCAAAGTCGATTTCCAAAGTACATTTTTTTTAAATTTGAAAAATCTTCAGACTGGATATTTCACTGAGCCTTTAACTGACATCAGTTCTAGGTCTTACAGTGTTTGGCATCTGCCATATGACATAAAAATAAAGATGAAATGAACACTGATCACATTTGCACATAGCACCAAGAATGATTCAGAAACAAATTCTGTTAGTCATAATTTAATCTCTTGTCAAATTGATCTCCATTATGTATTTTAGTCTCAAAAAAATTATGTTAATACAGCCAAACACAAAGCTATCACCTGTAAAGACAAGGAATGAACCCACACCCACACTACTGCTGTCCTGGGCTGCAGTAACTGTGAAGTAACTGCATTAAGAACATTGCCCATTCATCAGAAGAGGCTGTGATTCTGACACACTTAAGCCTAAATTCTTGAACTGAGTAGCTACACAGGTTTGGGAAGCTCACTGAGCAGGTTTGTTCACTCTGTGGTATGGCCATAATCCTGTTGTGTCCAAAGGAGGTATTAAAGAATGTTTACTTTTTACTCTGCCACTTGAACATCCCAAACTTTCTATATTAAAGTAGTAACATAATCAGCAGACACAGCCCAGAAAAAGAAATCTAGAAGCAGTTATTAGTTACAACACCGGCTTTTAGAAAATGCTACAATAAAGCTTCTTCTCAAAAAACCTCTTGAGAACTGCTTCTGTTACAAGGGGATCTCCAGGAAGGTAGGGAGATGAAGGGTGTCACGAGGAAACACGTTTTACACCCCCAACTCAGCCTGAGGCCTCCCTAGGCTCTCTGTGGCTGGCCAAGGCAGACTACTCCTCCAAGGAGCAATGTAGCACAGCAGCCTGGGTCAGACATATGATTCAGCTTTCCAATCAGCCACCCTTTCTCCACAAGGAGCCGACAGAGATTAGCTAACAGCCTCATCAGCTAAGTGAGGTGCCACGAACTGGGCAAATAGAATGCTCACTGGGTATCAAACTGAAGATCTGAACCAAATCACAAGCAGCTACTACTTCAGCCTGAGGAGTGACTGTAAACAGACTACACTCACTGGTGCCAGTCACTGAGTACATTATATTTAATTGTCAGGACACACCTTCTAACCATAAATAACCCATAACTATCCCCACACCTATGTCACAACTGATAGAGCAATCCCAGAATACTGGGAATGAGCTTCCACAGTCTATTACAGGGCATATTGCTAGAATATAAAACAGATGTCAAGGCAATAAGTGTTTCTAATTTCTTCAAAATGACGTCTTTGTATTTTCTCTAAAATGACATCAACAGTTTTGGTTGTGTTTTCACACAAAACATAAGCTGCTCTGCAGGGTATAACACGGCACAGGGCACAATGACACTTCTTAGAGACAAATGTGATCCAATAAGGTAACTCTTACCTTCCTGTGCAAGTTCCTCATAACATCCCACAATTGCTTCATTCCCAAGACTGTCACTACATTATATTACATCAGTGCATCATTGGTTCAGTTCCTGTCCCAAGACATCTAATGCTCTGTCATTCAGGACTCCCCATGTGAGCAGTGGGGATGCCCATGGTGGATGCAGGATGAACAAGGACAATGCTCAAAACCATTATCAGATACCATTGAGACTAGTTCATATTTATTTCAGCTGTCACTGATTAAAATCCATCTACTCTCCTGAAGCAAAAGCTCTTGGATCTTATTTTTCAATCACTCTTTTAATTAGGGATCTTGACAATGAAAGTAGAGCCAGGTCATTGTTCATGTCCCATGACCTGATCACATACATTACTGCAGGCTTAGAAAGGAGAATGGATACTAGTAACAGTTTTACAAAGAACTGACTAATTAAGCTGGTACACAGGGCATTTGAACATATCCCATGAAACAATCTTAGATTTAACTTTCATTTAAAATTTGAAGAGACCAAAATGCAATTCAAAAAGATGCCTAGTGGGAAACTGGAATTCAATTTATTACAAATTGACACATTAAAAATAATCTTCAGCTCAGCTGCTTTGGGAAAGATGTCCTCCCACATAAAAAAAGTATAATTTGAAAGAAATTGGTTCCATCTGAAAGTTTTCCTGCCTTGCCCTGAAATCATGCTGTCATCTGACCCCCTGCCAAACTGCACTCGACATATGGCAGGCTCACATCAAACTTGTCTGCAGTTTAGCAGCACAGCATATGTAATCGGCTATAAAACAGGAGCAAGGTAAATATCAGCCTGAGACCCGGCAGAGGAGGCACTGAGGAGGGTTCAATGCTTCCGTGGGAGATGATGCATGGACTCTCCTGCTCTCACGTGGGAAGTTAGTCATGGTTAAACAGCGAGTCAATCCAGACAGGACACGCACTCCACCTGCTGCCCAGTGCCCGAGGCCTGGTCCCAGCACAGTGTACCTGCCTTGTGTGATACTCACCTCTGCCCACCAAACACTGCTCACAGAGCTGGGCAGACCTGCATTGCAACTCAGTGCCCAAATGCAGGGCCTCTGCTATTAAACACAAATAAGCCCATATTTTGACTAATGATGCAAGGCAAAGGAGCTTGAACATTGAGAAAGGCACAGCTGGCACATCTTGGACTGCAAGGGAACAAACACAGCTTCAGGCTACTTTTTATACTCTCTTGATCTTATCCCACCTACTATTTTGAGACTCCAGACTACTGTTAAGTTGATCATGTTGTCCACAGTGCCCACAAATTGCTAGGAAGTAATGGAGCTTTGGGCATGTCCTCATTTACTACACAACATGACATGTCTGAGAGACAAGGAGAGTCCCTAGGGGCAAATCCACTGCCTTCAAGGCAGATTGGTATCATGGAAGATAACACAAAGCAATTTTATACCCAGTTTTAATAAACACATGACCCACACCAAAAGCAAGCTGTCCTCCAGTGCACTGTAGCTCTCAGGTAACCTGCAAACAGCTCAAGGCACTAACCATGACTCTCTTGCACAACCTGATGCTCACAGTGAGCATTTAATAGCAAAGGCTGCAAATTCAAACACAGGTATATGAAAAAAACCCTTCTTCTGAATGGGTGCAGCACATGACACACAAACTCCTCTGCCACTGTTTCTTTCACCTCCTAGACTCTTGTCTGCTGAGGGGACAGCTTCATGTTGCAAGCTTTGGGAAACCACCACTGGAAAGTATTGAATGTGCAATTGCAATTTTGCTTCTGGCTTTAGGCATCTGACTTACAAATGTTAAATGCAGAAAGACTTTCTTAGGATGTTTAAATCAATGAACTTTGGTCAGCATGTTGAAAATACTCCATTTTATGATGTGTAGACAGCAGTTTTTTGCTTAAATTTATGGTAATCTAGGTCATGCTTCAGTAAATTATTAAAAATCTGGAATGAGAGCTGACTCATCAACACAACTATCAGCCCACTCATAGCCATACAAGAAATCCCAGAGCCAAAAGAAAACAACATAAACTCAATTAGAGGGACAATTTTCATCTGCAGTAATAAGCTGAGTATTCACCAAAGTATTCTCAGAACTCTGCTGGAACACGAATCACCTTTATATTTCTGTGAGAATATTTTGCTTTAGATGCACTTTGTTGTTGTTGTAACTGACAGGTAGAACTATTTGGGTTTTGCCTTAATTGCTTGTGAAACAGCTCCTGGTTGGCTGCTGGAAATTTCTAAATTGCAATCCACTCTGTGCTCGTTGTTTTTAAACAAGGCATTTTATTGTGGGGTATCAGATCCTTCCTGTAAACTAAAAACGTGGTGATGGCACTTGTTCACCTGTCACATAAGGCTGCAGCTCTGATAAAGAAACACTGTTCTCCTTGAAACTTGTTTTGTAAATAAAAAGTGTTATAAAAGAGTTAAAATTAACTTGCTTATATGGATTTTGCTGTGTTTGCAGCAAACATTTACCTTACCCAGCATTTATGAAATAAATATGACTAGTGGTTTAGGTTACAGGGATCATGTTTTGGATCATGTTTTCTTACCCCAGGAACCCAATTTCGAGTGAATCTCATGTTCTGCTGACAGAGAGACAAGGGCAGGTACAGGGTATCAAGGCCAAGATACTCCCATCAATTTAGTATTCTCTTTTTAAACAATGACTCCACAAAACAGTAACACAGCACTTTCTGTGCATCCCCCTGTAAATAACTCAGGTTCATGCGAGTTTTCTCAGCTTCCTTACTAAACTTCTGTCCTTAAACTGCTTGCACAAACAACATGGGTCAGACTGGTTACTCTCTAGGCAAAATAAGCACTCACTCCTTCAGATGAAGAGAATTTAGGTGCCACACTCAAGTTAGCAGCTGCTATTAAAGCAGAAATGAAAGAATTTTCATTTCCTGTCATGCAAGAACCTGTCAGGGACATTCAGACACCATAATGACAGTAACTACCAAGGAAGCTATATAATATATTAAAGGCTAAGGATACACTTTTGGCTATGAATTTCTAAGCACAAGCAAGCATCAAAAGTAACTAAAACACTAAATATGCTGACATTGCTGTAGTAGCCATTGTCCTTACCATGTTTCACAACTGTATCATCATTCAACAATGTTATCACAATCTTTGAAGTGCAATAGTTCAGGCAAAAAATTTAAAGAAAAACTGAGTTGCATGAAAGCATCAGTGTGTTACTAGGCTGTTTCAGAGGATTACAGCTAATGTGAGGAAGAAGAGAGAAACTCCTGTCTCTGTTTTATAATTTAAGAGTGAGGGCAGTGTACCTCAATAATATTTAGCTCACATTTACCTTGTTTCCAGAAAATCCAACAAACTCCAGCAATCTCAGAATTCGTGCAGGAAACATGGACAATGTCTACAGGGAGAAATGCAACAGTTATAGAGCAGACCAGTAATAGACTTTCTGCTCCTCAGCTACCAGCTGGCTCCTGCAACTTTTCCAAAGACAAAAAATAATCACTAAAAACATCTCTACATGTCTGACAATCTCCTGGTTAGTGTATACACCTGCTATATTTTTTCACACAATTTAAATAGAAATATCTGCTTACTATAGGGCCCCTGTGTCTCCTGGATTCCCTGCATGTTTACACAGCACACGCTTAGTCACTCCAGCACTTCTCGGATGTTTCAGAAATGCTGGGTACATACCACACAGCACATATTTGCTCTTTGTGCAGTAAATCTAACATCTGGGCATGTGCCAGTGTCACACAAAGCTATGCCAGCAAGGGGAAGCACCAGTCACTTTCTGCAGCCCATCCCCTGAACAACCACATCACTCCTCACCATCTGTGGGTCAATGTCTCTCTGACACACCAGGAAATATCTTGTACCCCATTTGATCACCTGCGTTTTGGCCAGAACACAGCCAACAACAGCCAACAGTGGCCTGAGCAGCACCCCAAGCTTCATCCATGTACCTGACCAACTGTCCTGCTAACAGCCTAGGCCCTGGTAGCTTTCCAAGTGTCAGTTAAACAGCAAGTGGAAGTTAATCAGCACAGGCAACTAGTGCGTCTGTGCAAGGCTTCATACCTAACTATAACCATAAGATCAGTAACACTGATGCCAGTGGAACTTCTCAGGGATTTAAGGTAAGGCCATTTCCAGGAGGTTGCAGGACTTCAGCTCAGGATAAGAACTCTTGGTACATACCAGATTAAATGCTCCAACTCCAAGTTTTACACCTCCCTCAAAATGAAGGTGGTTCTCTCCTTTGACATAATGTGGGGACTGTATGAGACTGTCCAGCTCCCTGAAAATGCACAAGATTCTGTCACATTGTCAGTAAATAACATGACTGATTACAATTCAGCAAGGAAGTAACCCAGTTAGCTTGAACTACACAGTAGTTCAAAAAAGGTCAATTTGTAATCTCAACCAGGCAAACAACATCAACAACATACATCAGCTACTGGTTTTAAATGCTCCAAAAAGGTGCAGCTAGAACTATAAAGAACTGCCATTTCAATATGCCTAATGACTACAAGGCCTCCAAATCGTGCTGCGCAGATGCAATGAGCACCACATCATTCAGAATGGTTATTTTTTGACATAATTTCAAGGATATAGTACTTGAGGTAGGCAAACCTTGGGAGTTAATAGGGTTAGGGTCCACTATCTTCACAATCCAAATCAACCATAATATTAATGCCCTTTGTTACGCAAAGGAGGAGTTTGTGGGCTGAGAAAGGCTATAGACATGAGGCCCATAGTAAAGGCTGCAACAAATACAACAGTAACTTGTGAAGTAGATAATTTATCCAGCAGTACCTTTTACTGATAGAGTACATTTAATCACATCATCACACCTATTACCTGTATGTTTGGTAACTGTTTCGGACTTTGATGCCTCCTTTTATGAAGCTAACCATATTCTCATCCTGTTGGAATGGGAACACATTAGCAATAAGAATTTGCAAGCAATATAAAGGGCTTTAGTCTACTTGAGATGAACACATGCCTTGAACACAACCATAATGACACAGACAATATAAGCCTCTAAGACACAATACATGGATTTAGGATTTCCTTTCTATATTAAAATCTTTTTTACTCTGTCCAAACATAGGCAATTTACTTTGATGCCTTCTGCCCCTGTCACCTTTGGACCATCTGAATCTGCATTAATGAACACAAGAACTAAGCTAATGAATGTCACCTAGGACACATGCATTTGTGGCTCTTTCAAAAAATAGCTTTCCCTCCTTTGTCCTTCAGCATAGTTAAGATGTTTCCTGGTGCTGAGCCAGGAAATGTTCACAACTAACTACTTGTCCTCAGGAGTCTACAGAATACAGTTTCACATCCTAAAAGGGAAGCAGGGTCAGTAAAGTTATGCAGGATATGCTCTTTCTGGTCTGAATAATCAAATATATATGAGAATCATACTAGTATGGTAACATGTTGCATTACAGCTATAACAAACAGAAATTACAGCAAAGTGTTTCTGGGGGACCATCAGACACTCTGTAGTCTCATAACCTTCTGGTGGCAGTTTCTTGCCTCACTCATCATACACAATCTATCATTCTGGTTTGTTTTGATATCTGCTGTTGCTTCAGGACAGAAAGCCTACATGTGTTTTAGCAGATGATTCTTCTGTGATGTTAAGCTGTATGAAGCATTGTGGAGAAAACAGCATGGATTAGAAGAACTAATCTAAGTACAGCATATTGGGGGGTACAGCATACCTAACCATGCGCAAAGCTTCACTTACATTTTCCTTTGAATGCAAAATGGAATAAGGAAAGAGGATGGTTTTAAAATGTTTACATTCTGAATGCTCATGATACCACCAACAGGGACAGGCAAAGTGAGAATTGTCCATTCCTTGAAGAATCCTGAGACTAATTTTTATGTGTTTAACTGGATTTGGTTATTTACGTCAAGCATCAAAACTAACCCACTTCAATAGCTGTAGGAACCAAGTGCTTTTGTTTCATTTTTAAAACTAGTTCATGTGCTCATAAAAAATTAAACACAGAATAGAAGAGGAAGCAAATAGACCTATGCAGAAGAGGACAAGAAATTATTTTCTTATTCTTAAATCTCCCATGTATCTATAAACATTTTTAAAAACAGACACCTGTGAAAATAGTGCTTAAAACCAAGAGACATTGCTTTAAAGCACTCCTTTCTTACAGGCATAATGGACAAGTTCTGAAAAGTTTTGCTTCCATAGCTTCAGATATCACCCAAATTGACCCCAGTGATAGAGGCTACTCATCCCAAAGGAATATGGAAACAGCTACACATTGGTCATTTCCAACTCTATCTTCTTACCATAAAGTCACCAGCAGCAGCACTCTAGAAACTACTAGAAGCTCCTCTGACTATGGGCTTTGCTATGAAGCACTAGTTTCTAGCAGAGGGATATAGCACATCACTGAAAAAGGTTACATGGTTCATAAACTGTCCTAAGCAACATAAATCAGAGCCTACCTGGCAACTCCCAAACACTATAAAATCACCACCTGCAATCCATTCCCTAGCAGCATCTTTGAGGCAAGAAGCAGAAGCCTTTTCTGACTGTGACTTTTGCTATCCCCTTAACAGATGAAGAGGCCCATTTTCATACAGCAAGTACAGCCAAATCAGAAGCAAAATCAGTTATTTCGACTGTGATTAGCAATTTAAATTGCATGCTGGAGCCCAAGTAAGTACTGCTAATGTTGCTGCATCACCCAAATCAAGTTTCATTAGTGCAGACAGATAGCATTTAAAGCAGAGGGAGAGCTCCCCTGTTTTAAAGACAGGCAGCACAGTTAAGGAGAAAGCATGTGTATAGCCTAATAGCAATGCAGACCATAATAGCTGTTCAAGAACATACAAGTGAGAAAGAAGTCTTGGGAAAGCAAACACCAGCCAGACTGAAACACAAATCTCACTTGTGTTCCAGCACAGCTTCAGTGACCATCTCTTCTTTTTCCCTTTCTCCCCTTTCTTTTTTAATCTGGTATCTCAACACAGTATTTGAAAACTGGTGCTTACTGTGTTTCTTTTCACACATCCAAAAGGGAATGGAGAACAGTGTCATAGGGGACTCAGTGCTATGTGCATAGAGATAAGCATTTTTTGATCATCACAAGGGACAAAACTTTTCTACTTTCTCATCAGCAGACAGTGCAGATAAAATCCAGACAAAAACCTTACACAATTAGTTCAAACTAGAGTATTCTACCAGTTCATTAATTTTAGGAAAAGAAATATGGTGTGTACTTTTGTCCCCCCCCCCACAATGAGCCACACAGCAATTCATACCTGGAGGAATGTGAGCGCTGCTCTCTGAAGTAAACATTCAGCATAGCAAATTTCTGCATGGATTTCCTCTAGTGTCACATGGAGAGAAGAATAAAACAAATCAATCAGTGAAAAAGTAATTAACAAACACTTAGCTCATTAATACAGAAAATAATATCACAAAGCTCAAACTGAAAAAAATCTTTTCCAATCTACTGTAGTGCTTCAGTTCTAGACTACTGACATAACTCCAAACAGAGATAATACACAGTTACAGAAACTTTGCAGGAATTGCTATGGTGCATTCCAGGAATCCTGGATCAAGATGCTTTGCGGGCATTTCAATACTCCTTTCTAGGTATTTCTTTACCTGGGAATTTTTGGGAATGCTGAATCAGCAATCAACAGATCCAGTTATTTTGGATGTGGTTACACAACAACTGCCAAAACAATGATCCGGCAAATGCCAAATCAGTGATTTTGACAGTGAATTCACAGGTTGCAAACACACATTGAGTGAACAATTCCATGTGATTCCAATGCATAAGTAAAAAGACATTATCTCACATTATGCGTGTGAGAGATGTTACCTTCAGTAAAGTGTTCAAGGCTTTGTCTATGCACAAGGTTGTTGATAGAATCAGCTACTGTAGATTTCTTCCTAAATCTGAAAAAAAAAGTCAGTTTGGTCATCCTGAACATGAAGCATCAATAACACAGAGTAGTAGCTTTCAGTTGGTAATCCACACAGACACTAACCTACCTCTACTGCTCACCAATCCCCTGTCCTTACCACATACACAAACTTCAGCATATTCCATAGAGAACTTAGCCAACATGGTCCTCCTGGGATCTGTCTTTTACCCTTCACATGTGGAAATCTGCCTTGATGAAGGAAGGGGATAAAGAAGTGTTTTATCTGGTGTGTGTATGGATGTGTGTGTGCATTTGTGTGCCAAAGTGAGAGCACAGCTGACTCAAAATCAGCGACTGTAGTACAACCATCACCCACGGGAACATTCTGCAGTGTCTGCACATTGTAAATAACTTCCAGACACTACAGAACTAGGGCTACAGATAAGACAAATCTGATTGACAAGAGAAATCAGATATTGTGGTAAACTGAAGTTTTCAAGGCCAGATTGCTGAACACTCTAATTTATGTGCTGTGACCTCATATGTGACCCTTCTCTGAGCAGGAGGCTGGACTAGATGATCTCCTGATGTCCTTTCCAAACTCAGTTTTCCTATGATTTATATGAGATTACACTTCCTTTTTTAACCTGCATGTCTTTCAAAACTTGCCCAGGACGGGACCATTCACTGACTGAATTGCTCCACACCTACCTTTGACAGGTGGCTTGAGCTTCCTTCATTGTGTTTCCTGCATTCAGTATGTCCTGAGGATCAAATGTCATCATCGCTTGCATTTCCAATATAGTGGCATAAGTCAGGGCATGATACATACTGTCTTTAGTTCTGAAAGGAAACACAAGATGCAAAGCACAGCTGACTTGATTCTATTACTGCTTTTTAAAAAACAAATGCAAATCCAATTCCAGATGTGTACCAGCCTGATGGGAACAAGGTCTAAATGAACTAGAAATCAAACACAAAGGACAAGCAAAATAATCAAGACACACTAAGAGACTGAAATTTGTACAGGAAATCATGTTTACAGCTCCAGTTTCAGTAACTCTGCTAAAATGTACCAATTCTGAGCTGAGGATAGGTATTTAACAGACATAAAGCACGGGAATTAACCACCTGGCTCACCATTCAGAGACAATAGAATCATGGTGCCTTTTTTTAAAGGAGTATCTAATGAATATTACAACACATGCCATAAATCCAGATGATATTCTTCTAATTTGGGACAGTTACTCAGGACAGACTCAAGGAGATAAGTAACACAATACTATAACCATGGCCAAAATAGAATCTTCTTGAAATGGATCTTCCCACCAGAAGCACTAGTCTACGTCAAATATTATAGCTTTGTCCTCCTCTCCCCTTCCACCCCAACCTGTTCAACTTAAATACCGTTCTGTGGGGTGTCAGATGGTGCCTCTTTTGCAGAAAGTCAAAACAACTTTGGCATTAGTGCCAGGAAAAGAATTAACTCCTACGTGCAGTCATTGTGCCATCCTTCCTCTGGCAGGAAGGAAGGTTTATGTATTACACACATTCACAGCATTCAGCCAGTACACCTATGTCTGGTGTAATCCTCTGCAAGCGAACCAAAATATCTTCAGGCATAGAGGTGTAATAAAGATGACTTGAGAAACATGCTGAAGGGCAAGCTCAGATAAATTCCTGACACAAAAACTCTCTGTAGACCTTGCTAATCCACCCCTGACAAATAGCAGGACTTAAGGCAAACACTGCTAAGGAGCAACACTTTCTGCTTCAATTGTTTACACTCTAGAACAGATCAGATAGCTCTATATATGGCAGGGAATATTCAAAAACACTTGCAGTCAAACAAGGATATCCTTTCAACAAAATCTCCACCCTCAGCACACCCGTTATCAATGTGTGTACTTGAGGTGTCCCTCAAAACAAACCATTTCTTTTCTTTTCAAGGAGAAAGTGGTGTGCTAGCAATGTGCCCTCGACAAAACCAGGGCAGCATTAAGAGGAGTGCTGCTGCCAGCAGGATGAGAGAGGGGATCCCTCCCCTCTGCACAGCACTGGTGAGGCTACACCTGGAGTGCTGCGCTCCGTCCTGGGCTCCTCAGTACACAGACATACTCAAGAGCAGGGTGATGAGGATCATTAAGTACCTGGAACACCTCTCCTACGAGGACAGGCTGAGAGAGCTGGGACTGTTCTGGCTGGAGAAGTGAAAACTCAAGAGTGTTCCTATAATGTGTAGAAATACCTGAAGGGAAGAAGCAAAGAGACTGAAGCCAGGCTCTATTCACTGGTGCCCAGAGACAGGACTAGAGGCAATGGGCACAGCCTGAAACACAGAAGGCTCTGTCTGAACACTAGGAAACGCTATTTTTCTATCAAGGTGACCATGCACTAGCAGACATCATCCAGAGAGCTCGTAGAGTCTATTATAATGTGTAGAAATACCTGAAGGGAAGAAGCAAAGAGACTGAAGCCAGGCTCTATTCACTGGTGCCCAGAGACAGGACTAGAGGCAATGGGCACAGCCTGAAACACAGAAGGCTCTGTCTGAACACTAGGAAACGCTATTTTTCTATCAAGGTGACCATGCACTAGCAGACATCATCCAGAGAGCTCGTAGAGTCTATAACCGATATTCAAATCTGGCTGGAGAAGTGAAAACTCAAGAGTGTTCCTATAATGTGTAGAAATACCTGAAGGGAAGAAGCAAAGAGACTGAAGCCAGGCTCTATTCACTGGTGCCCAGAGACAGGACTAGAGGCAATGGGCACAGCCTGAAACACAGAAGGCTCTGTCTGAACACTAGGAAACGCTATTTTTCTATCAAGGTGACCATGCACTAGCAGACATCATCCAGAGAGCTCGTAGAGTCTATAACCTTGGAGATATTCAAAAGCCATCTGAACACGATCCTGGCCAGCTGAGCCTAGGTGACCCTGAGAGAGTACCTGACCTCCTGAGGTCCTCTCCAACCTCAACCATTCTGATTCTGTGGTTTTGTTTAAGGAGAAAAAGCAGACACCTTAAAGACACCTCAATCCATTTAATTTTCCCCCTGGAAATACACTTGCCTCCCCAACTTTTGATACCTGGACTAAACTGAAAGATAATTTTATGGATTACTTCAGACAACCCTACATTAATCAATGATCTAATAACTCACTGTGGTGACTTGGATCCCTTTAAGTCTTCTAATAATTTACACATTATTATGCATTAATTCTTTTGCTCAATGGAGTAAAATACTCTTAAGTATACAAGGAGTTCCTGATGCTCAGTTAGTGCATTCCAGAGCCATAAAATAACCTTGTCTCCATTTAAAGCAAACCCCTCTCCATGGCATTATGCAATAAAATCACCAAAGAAGAATACAAGTGGTGATAAAATCCTGACTGACTTTGTATATGTATTTTTTTGAGATCTAGGGAGTAAAATAATACCTAGCATTGGTGCAGGCAGCACTACACAGACACCTGGTGCTTCCCTTGCCAAACCTCATACTGACTATGAAGGGCTACTTGTTCCAACATACAGAGCACAGGGCAGGCTGACTGCACTGAACAAATTTGCAGTGCACACCTTTAAACTCCACTGCAGTCTGTGCTTCGTGGCTGTCCTTAATTCCTAGTTGCCCATACCACCTAAACCAATCTAGCAGAAAAGCTGCTTTGGGAAATCACCTAGTGCCTTAAGTGCTATAAGCCCCAGACTATGCTAACATCCATCTCATTTCCAAGGTAAGAACAGCAGACAGATAATAGAGAAATTAGTTTAAAACCCAGTGGAGTCAGGACAGCTCTGTCATGGCTTCATACATCATGATTCTTGCAGCAGACTGATAATGTGAAGTAGAAAAAAAAATGGATATACTATAAAATGCCAGGCTGATGCAGTGTTCCTGTTCATTCGACTATTCATCAGCTTCAGTAGGCACAGAAAAACACACTTCATCCTGTATTTACTAAACTAAAACCCTTCTAGTGACTCAAATTCAAAGCACAGGGCAAGACCAAAACATTACTCTTCCAAAATTAGAGAAATTTGCTTTCAAAATCACAGCAAATAAATATTAAATTCACTGCACTAAGAGGAAAATTGGTACTTTTCACACATATGTGATGAAAAGGGATTTCTCTCTCCCAGTAATTTGCTTATGATACCAAATCACCCCTTCCCTAATCAATGGTTTCATCTCTTTTGCTCCTGATATTTAGAGGAGATAATTAATGTCTATCATTAGCTAACTGGTATTTTTCAACATTCAAATGTACTCTGTTTTTTTCCAGGGGGTGGGATGCTGGTAGAAATGCAACCAAATGTAACTGTTATCTATGCTATTTCTACTAACCATACAATTAAAGTTGCCAGTTACATCCTGGCGTACTGCCTGGAGTTTTAAGGCCTGGAATTTATATCAATGGATACAGAATGAAACTTGATAGCTTTTAATTTTTCTTCTTTTGATTCCTCAGCAGCACTTTCCTCAGGACATTGCTGGAGTTAACAAGCCTGTATGGCATAAATACAACTAATATTGTGATTAATGACTTATCCCAGTAGTTGGTATCATATGACTGAATAAGAGGATTAAAAGTAATATCTTTAGGCACTTATGGAGTTATGCCACATGCCTCTTCTCCAACTACGGTGCAATCATTATCATCCTGCAGAACGGCCCTTTCTGGGAGCCATTGGAGAAGGCTTTTATTCCTGCTTGAAAAGTGCCTAAGAGAGGACAGTGACAGTTCTCCAGTTGAAGTATCAAAATCAAAAAAGCTGAGCTTGGTTTGACCACAGAATTAACCCAGGGGTTTTTTTCTTTTGGGAAAAATGCAGTGCCCAACATCTTTTTGTGGATCCTTTAACAGCAATCCATCAGGCAGGACGTGTATTTTCAGGTTCAAGCCCATGCCCTGATTTAGTACCAAGGTGCTTCCAACAAGTGAAACAAATCCAATAGCAGAGTGAGAAAGCCCCTCCACAGATCAGTCAATAGTCCATTCATCAAGGTGCACCCAGGAGTGAGAGATCAAGGCCCAAATCAAATCTGCATCAGGAAAATGTGATCACACAGGGCCTGAAAGCTTTCCTTGTCTTTGATCCAAAGTTCCACCCAGCATCCAAACTACCCACTAGACCTACGGCATGGGCTTCCAGAGAAATGCTGTTTTGATGAATCAACATTTTCCAATAAAAACTTGTTTCCTATTAAATCCGGCCCCCCCCAACAGCATTAAGTTAACAACTAGACAAGAGCACTCTGATCAGCCATCAGCCTGGCTTCCCAGCTACCACAGACCACCAAATGGCCTAAGCCAAACAGCAGTGGTTTAACATGAGAATCCCTGGGCCTTTTTCATCTAAGCCACTTTCCAAATTTTGGAATCTAGTTCTTCCAGCTAGGAAAGCAACAATGAAGTCAGGTTTGGCAGGAATGAATTATTCCTGAATTATTTACAAAGACTCTAAAAGTTGTGTTCTTCCAGACTCCATGAATATCAAAAAAAACCAACCCTAGAAATAAGAACCTTCACATTCCTGGCACTCTACAAGCACTAGCTAACTCAAGCTTTCTGCAGAGCTGTGCACTGCATTTATTCAAACACTGTCTAGAGCTTCACTCTACCTTCCCCTTACTCTTTCACCACTCTCCATCTGACAATCACACCCTATCTCTGTAGATCAGCTCCCAGAGAAAGCTCCTCCACCCCACTGAACAACCTCATGTTTGCTTTTGTTCTACAAGGACAGGAACATTTCACCACAGCCAGTACAAAAGCCTGCCATTCCTTAGGAACTGCTTTAAGCTTTTTAAAGATCAAAATATACAAGATAACATTTAACGCTGTAAAATGGGCTTATAGCAAAAATTCCAGCGATAGTAACAGATAGTAACAGAACTCCACTATTCCCACAAGCGTTTCACAAGTAACTAGCAGAGCAGTAACACATCTCCTCACACCCACCTGAGATACTCCCACATCAAAGTGTTTGAATTTACCTTTCAAACACAGTCATTCCAGAATTAATATTCCACTAAACAGCAAGTGCTTTTTGCAGTCTATTTTCAGGATTAAGTCAACTGCCTGGAATGAATCATTGTCTTATTTTTCCTATAACTGTGCAAGCACCAACAGACATGTAGTGCAGCTCATCCAGTGGTCCAGATAACTCTGCCATGAATTTATCTTCTTTACCATTCTCCCAATTGAAGAATTAAAAGCATCTCCATGCTTTTCTTCAGGATAATTATTAAAATATTAAGCATTTGTCTTGGGAAGGGACATCTCACCAGAATCAACTCTGTTTGCAATTACACGAGGGCTAAAATCCAGTCAGTGTTTAATCGATTACTGTACGTGTCTCAAGGCTGAGGAGGAAGATGAGATTCTTTCCTCACTCCAGTGACTAGACAGTTTCAGTGTCAGTCATGGTCACAGTTACCATATTACATATTGTAAATCACTGTTGTGTTTGGTGACTGAATTTGAAGACATTCTTAGACATAGTGTGAGTACTCCATATAAAAGACAAATTCAACTAAACTTACTGCAGGAAGCACCAGATAATCAGAACCCACTCCTGTATAATGCTTGTTAATGATAATAAAGAAAACTGACTCTAAAAGCTAAAAGGTAGCTGAGGAATGATGGATTTGCTTTTCTAACAGGAAAATAAAGAGCTTCACCTCAACACAAGTCTAGACACCATCCTCAGATGCATATAAAAGACAAATTCAACTAAACTTACTGCAGGAAGCACCAGATAATCAGAACCCACTCCTGTATAATGCTTGTTAATGATAATAAAGAAAACTGACTCTAAAAGCTAAAAGGTAGCTGAGGAATGATGGATTTGCTTTTCTAACAGGAAAATAAAGAGCTTCACCTCAACACAAGTCTAGACACCATCCTCAGATGTTTATTTTTAAGCGGAAAGCTCTTTCGATTTGAACTCTCAAACATTGCCAAATCTGCTGTCAGCTTCACATGGTACAAATTAGTTGAAAATACACTTATTGTGGAAGCCAAATGTGAGTAATTTAGTGGATCTGCAGAGTATCTCTCATACCATAAGTGCTAAAGCTGCAAAATCTACAATATGAAATTCTTCACAAGCATATAAAAACTGAAAAGTACTTCTCTGCATAAAGATAGTATGTTTATGGACTGTGAAAACCAATTTCAAACCTCAGCACACTAAAACTGAACAGTGAGGAACTGATGGTTCCTAAAGAATATACTCAGTGCTATCACATGTGGCCACCCTACAACTCTTTTCGTTCCTTAAAAAGATGGAGTGTGTCCATAATGGATATCATCTGTGGGGAAATTTAGCATCCTGTTTCTTCACTGAACTCACAAAGATCACAAGTCT